TAACCAGGGCTTAAGCCGGTGCTAATTGTCGTGAGTCTTCTTACCACTTGATTCCCTATAAGTTAGCGACGGGGTGGCTAATTGTGGCATGGGCTGGGCCGTGCTAGGAACTTTGGGGAGTTTTGTTTCTGGGCGTTGTATCCTATTATATAGACACACTGTATTCGTTAGTGGATTGGACAAATAAATCCCTTTGTATTAATTGGTCAGTTCGCTTCTTTATTTCACTCAATGGTGATTTCTTACGCTTGAATTATCCAATGATATTTGACCTCTTCATATAACATAAAGATATTAAATTAGAATGTACGTAGAGGAAAATTAGGTGTGTAAATATGGTGATGACACATAATTCTTCTATTTTTTTATATATTATCTTATATGCCACAAATAAAAGAACTATTATTAAAAAGCTTGGGTAAAAAATGGACGGTATGCCGCTACCTCTCATTTCAGTAACATGATTAATTTATTGGTTGGTCTAATAAGTGGAATTTGATCCGGTTAGATAATTTTTCCTAAAACAAGCCCATAATACCGTATTTGGGTGGTGGGAGAGCACCCTATAGACGAACATAGTTATTTTGTAGCTTAGTTATTGTGCATTAGCACATATATCTGCATTACATAAATTAGATAATTGAATATTATGATATTGATTAAAGGAATATGTTAAACATGGCCATATATTTGAATCCAGAGAAATTATTAAGTTACAATTTCGTTCTTATAGCTTTTCTCTCTAATTTTAAAACGAAGTAAAAATTAGTTAAAGTGATAAAAATTACTAAAATTCCAAATAAAAACTATATTAAAAATACTGTAAAAATGACACCTATCATGGAACCTTAAAACTATGGATTTCTATATTGTACTTTTACCAAGCTCTAATATGTTATTTTATATTTACTAGTAATCATAATCTGAATTTTAATCAGTTTTCTAATTTTGTGTAAACTTTGTGAAGTAGTTCTAAACGTAATAATTATTTTTCACAGAGTCTTTCTAATCTTGTAAAAGTCTTGTGAGGGAGTTCTAAACTTGATAACTGTTTCTCACAAACGCTTTCTATTTCTACTGCTATAGATTTCTGATCTTGTGTTTTAAAAGTTAGTTTTTTTTTTTTTTTACAGTCCAATTCACCCTCCCTCTTTGATTGTGCCATACATAATGGGGCTCACATCTGCCAAACTCTAGGTCTTTCTAGGGTAATCTGATTCGATTAGAACCGGGTTCGGTCCAACTCAACAGTTTAGTTTGGTTTTCAACTGATTTATAGGTTTTTCATCCAGTTTGAAGATTTCAAACTGGTTTATAGGTCAAATTTACAAATAAAAAACAATTTACAAATAATATAACATTTTATTTTAAATTTTGTTGTATAACCTCATTGGTTGAAATTAAAAATTAAATCTTTAAATGGAAAATCTATAAAATTTTATTTTCGGGTTATTTCATTTTGTTTTAATCTTATAATTATATTTAATTTGTTGGGAGATTATTATTTATTTAGTTATTGTACATAAATTTATTAGATGAATGGTTAAGATTATTTAATTAAATTATTTATATATTTACTTAATACTTGTGGGAATGTAATCAATTAGTTGTGAATATTTTTAAAGGAGATGCAATTAATTAAATTGTAGATTATTTTGAAAGGAGTTGTAACTAATTAGTTGTAGTTTTTTTTTTTAATTATTGAGGATGTAATTATTTTCTCCTCCCTCCTTTCTTTGTATGTTTAATTATTTATTGTGGATTTTTAATTTATTTTTATGTTTATGGTTATGCCATATCAATGTGAAAAAACAATCTTTTGATTTCCAAAATTAAACTATTTTCAAAAGGATTTTTTTTTTTAACAGTAATGAGCTTAAAAATTAAAATCAACCCTTACTTGGAGAAACTAACAAAATGGAGCCGATGCTGTGGCTAGGTGAGTTTAGGCGCCTAACGCCTTTCCAAGCCCGCATCTAACTTTCTTATCCAGACCCTAGTTAAACAGTTGGACTCTTTTCGAGGAATACAATAGCTATGTGGTCATTGTACCAGATTTTATCTGGACGGCAACTCCTATTCTCGGGTTGGGTCTTGACTCATTCCATCTTCCCTTGGGCCTTTAGCCCTTGACATAGTATTCAATCGATTTCTTAGGCAAAAACCCACAATATTCAAAGCGCACAAAATCAAATCAGCCATGGAACAGAAAAATTCTCTCACTTAAATGAAATCAGTCAATATTTTGAGTTGGCAGAAAATGTTAGGATATTTTTCAGTCATCGTGTAAATCTAATTACCAGTAATAGCAACATTCGAAAGAGAAATTGAAAGGGATCAAGTGAAGGAGAAGCAGCTTTGTACACAAGATTTGTTCAACAATGTTTCAATATCAACATCGGTCCAAAAATTTTTATTTACAAGTTCTTTAAGTTTTTCAATAATGAAAATCAGTACTAACTTGTGCCAATAATTAGATGAAGTTACAAACTCGAATACAATTCAACCAATTATAATACACATCAGAACGCTGAAATTTTTCAATGTTTTGGGGAAAAGAGAGAAAATTGTGTAAAAAATAAAACCTAAAACGAAATTGTCTGCCTCTTGAAGCAGAAACAAGAGAAAAATAAGCTTATTTGAGAAACAATCTGAAGTTCAAATAGCATAAACTCAAAAAAATATTGTTTTCTTGAAATATTTAAGAAACAGAGAATAAAAGAAACAAGATTGAAAAACGGAGCATGTATACGCATAAATGAAAAAAGTAGTAATTATTGTAGTTAAAGGACAATTTGATTTATATAATTTTTCTGTTATGCCTATCTTAAATAATACATGAATAGTTAATGTATTGAAATGATAAATGATAATTAATGAAGGTTATTGAAAATAAGATAATAATAAATAATTTAAAAATTAACTATAATATTAAAAAAAAAAACTACATTTTAAGGAAATAAAAAATATAGAATATCTTTTTTAAAAAAGAGGGAGTCCTTTTTATTGAAACAGAAGTCTCGTTTTATCTTTAACCTGATGGCTAAAAATAGGCCAATTTTTGAGAGCAAGGATTTTCTCATTCTACCTCTAATTTTTCATATTGGTGAGATATGACTAGAAGTCTACTCAGCTTTGCCACTAGAGTAAGACTCTATTTTGTCTCATTCTATCGTTAACCTGATAATGATAAACAACATACTTTCTTTCATGTTTCTCGTAGGAAGACCTTTCAAAAATAGTAGACTCGAGTGAAGCTGGAGCTCACCAAAAGTTATACTCAAGCTCAGCTCTGACTTGTTTTGAGTTTGAAAATCTAAACTCGAGCTCGGCTGTTTGAAAATAGCTACGCTTGAGTTCAACTGTTATCTATAATTATATATCTGTAATATACTCCTTCCATTTCATTTTATTTATTTGTTATTCTTTTTTTAGATGTCACAAAATGTTTATAAATCTAAATTTATACATTTAAACAATTATTTTTCTTCTCATAATGTTTATAGTTGTTCATTAAACGAAAGTCTTTTATTAATATTTAAGGGTAAAAAAGGATAAAATGATTTTTGTTAACTAAATTCTTAATATGCGTATTTTGTCAAATTATCCAAATAAAATGGGACGGAGGGAGTATACAAAAGTGGGTATGGGGAAATATTAGATTTCCCAAAAATACTCCTACGGACTTTTAATTTTATTGATTGATTAAAAATATTATGAAGGATAATTTAGTTATATTCTAATTAGACTTTTAATTTTATTGATTGATTAAAATTACCAGTAAGGATAATTTAATCCTATTTTAATCAAAAAAATTTTAATTTTATTGTTTGATTAAAAATATCATTAAGGATATTTTAATCTCATTCTAATTAGGAAGCTTTTAAATTTAAGCTTTTAATCAGATAACTTTGGTCTTTGGTTATTTGTTTTGTTATTTTATTATTATAGTCAATTAGGCTTACCTATATATCATAACCAAGTTTGGCGTATTATCTACATCACACCATCACAAGATCATAAACCTAATTATCTTTTAGAAACCTTAATATTTCTTATGCTGCGACCGTAAGATATGAAGACATCCCATCCCATCTATCCCTTTCATCTTTGACACACGTATACAACTAGATTCGTGCATGCATGGGTGTTTACGCTTGCATACATCTATAGCAAGCATAAGCAAATCAAATTACAAAAATTATCATTTTATTGATACAATAGTGGCTTTTTATTTGTAATTGTTGCAATGATAATAGATAATCAAATTATATAATATTATATTCATTCTGTTATATAATAAACTACAGCTATGACCCCGAAAGTGTTAGCCTAATAAAAACCACGTTGGACAAATTTCTAGTAGTCCTGAGTTCGATTCTTGAGGGCATCTAAGCAGTTAATTAACCTTTGATTGAGCTTAAGCCTACCAATGCTAATGAATTATAACCTCCATGCATTTGCATAAACCCCAGGTGCAGAGCATAAAGTACGCCTGTTCCCCGATTAGTCATTGTCTTTAAGACTAAAACTTCATTGTTGTTGTTGTTATTGCAACTATTTCCTTCTCTCTTCTTCTTCTTCTTCTTTTCTCTTTCTTAGCATATCTTTGTTCGCATGACAGTGTTATTGCAACTATTTCCTTCTCTCTTCTTCTTCTTCTTCTTTTCTCTTTCTTAGCATATCTTTGTTCGCATGACAGACATCTGCTTAAGCAACTTCTCCAATTAGACTTAGGCAACCAATTCGAGGCTGCTCTGATACTAGCTTATTTGCATTCATTTCTTTAAAATATATACAGTTATATGTTTCAGAATTAATATTAAATAATTCACGAACCCAAAATTACAAATAATCGGAAAGTATCTGACAAAATATACTTCATTTTGGTATATTTATTTTGAAAAATGCCTCATAATTAGAATAATATCAGTCTTGAAGTGTTTATGTAATTTCTGAAAAACACTGCTGCCAACGGAGAAATTATATAGAACTGATGCTTTATAGTTTTGGAGATGCTCAAGGAGAAATTTTATTATTGTAAATCTTTCTTTGTGGCTTTCTTCACATTTCCAAACAAGCAAATGATCGTTCCAACGAAATTATACTATTACACATCTAGAACTTTATACGCTAGATGTAGACCACAAAATGGTTATTAAATGATATTATTCTAATGCATATAATACTAGATTATGTGACCATAAGCTAAATTAAATTAACCTAGCTAGATTTCGTTGGACGTTTCCTGCATGCTAAATTCAAGGGTATGAGTTTTCTCACTGTTATTGCCATCCTTTCACTCATGTCTAAAGTCTGAGAATGTAGATCCCACTCAAAATTGTGCAATAGAGAGGCCACACCAAGTGGAACTACTCTCTGAGCCAATCCCATGCCCACACATATTCTTCTTCCTGACCCGAAAGGAATGAGCTCAAAATTCTGCCCCTTGTAATCAATATTTGAACCTAAAAATCTCTCAGGCTTGAAATTCATTGGATCCTCCCAAGATTCAGGATCTCTCCCTATTGCCCATGCATTTACAAGAACTTGAGTGCCTTCAGATATATGGTAACCCATAAAATTTGTATCTTCTATTGTGTTTCTTGGAATGAGTAAAGGAATTACAGGATGTAATCTAACTGTTTCCTTTATAACAGCTTGTAGATATGGCAATTTGTCTATGTCACTCTCTTCAACTTTCCTGTTTTCTCCAACAACTGCGTCGAGTTCATCTTTAACTTTTCTCAAAGCTTCAGGATTAGAAAATAGCTCTGCCATTACCCATTCCATTGTCGAGCTTGTAGTCTCTGACCCAGCAAAAAACATTTCCTTCAACATTGAACACAACCAATAATTTATTAAATTCAATATAATACTTCTACTGAACAATAAAAAAAAAAAAAAAAATAAAAAAAATAAAAAAAAAAAAAAATTCATGCTAATGCCACACAATACTCCTTATAATAATATGCTTACCAAAATGATTATGATCATTTTGTCATATGGAATTTTTCCTTCCCATTCTTTACCATCACCTTCAAATTCCAACAACACATCTAGGAAGTCCTTATTAGCCTTTTTCTTCCCCATTTTATAATCCTCAATTCTTTCTTTAACAAACCCAGCCACAATGTCTTTTGCACGTCCCATGTCTCTTGACATGTTCCTTTTGAGTCCTTGTGGATCCAACCATTGCAAGAATGGTAGAAAGTCTGCAAGGTTTGGTGTTCCAGCCCAAACCATGACCTTGTCCATGGCCTCAAAGAACTCATACCCTTCTTTGCACTTTGAATCGAAAAGGTCTTTTGATAGCATGAGATTACCAATCAAATTGAATGACATTAGGAAGAGATAGTGAGGAATATGCACTTTCCCTGATTCTCCACTTGCTTTTCCAGCTGCCATATCATCTTCGATGCTCCTGCCCAACGGAGACATATTTTAAGATTATGATATAATTATCGGACAAGGGTCCATGATTAGGACAAAAAAGAATCTTAAATTAGGTGGATCAAATAAAAATTTACATGATAAATTTAACAAATTTAATATTCATATACAAAATGCTCAAAGGAAATATTAAAATTGCAAAAAAGCAAATTGTTATAAACAAATGACGGAATAAAAAAAAAAATCATGTTGTCAAGTGAAAAAGACTAACGGTATATATAGTTGAATTGAACAATGACAAGTGCAATAAATTTATTATGGACTTCTTAATTTTTAGAAAAAGAAAATAAACAAAAGATTTTTATCATTAATATAATAAATTTATTATTAGGTAATAAAATAATTAAAAATTTTAATAAATAACAAAATGTCATAGAAGCAACTAATAATAGGCAATAAATAATAATAATTTGATGCGAAAAAACTATAAAAATATCTAAAACTCTTGGGAATGTATAACAAACATGTATATTGGACAGTGGTTAAAAACGGAATATAAACGACAATTTTTATTATCAAAACGCAGATCTTTGCTGAAGTGGATATTGAATCAGACACAAAAAAAATACTAAAACGATAACAAACATTACCGTATCATTACATCGATGCATTTCCGTCGAATCTGGACTGTCTCATTGATTCGCCTGTTGGCCAAGAGTTCAATAGCGCAGATACGCCTTAACGTTCGCCAATATGGCCCAAACCGACCTAGCGCAAGTGATCCTTCTTTGTAGTTGTGAGAGGTAAACACACAGGGAACCGTTCGGTCACAGAAGCTGGCGTCATGGTTCTTGAACAGCTCCATTGCCTGGCGTCATGGTTCTTGAACAGCTCCATTGCAGCCTTCGCTGATTGTATTACCACCGTGTCCACTGATCCTATTCTTAGCCGCAGCACTGGTCCATACTTGAATTTAAGCTCATATAAAATCCGGTGCGCCAGAGTTCCAAGATCGAAAATGTTACCGACAAGTGGCCATCTCGGTGGCCCTGGAGGTCGGTTCTTGTTGCCATTTTCAGTCCTCCAGTTTTTCCTTTTCAGGAATAAAACTAGAGATAGTAGTAAGAGAAAGCTTGACCAAATAAGGGGAGAAGAGTCCATCTCTTTGTATGTAGTTTGAAACTAGCTAATGGTACTCAGTAGTTTCTCTGAATTTCAACATATATAACCTTATGTAGTAGAGTAGAGCGATGCAAATTGCATACTATTTTATTATATATATTATAAAATAATATATAAAGCTATCATTTCCCATAATAATAATAATAATAATAATAATAATAAGTAATTGTTGATGCCGGTCCATTCCGTCCGGCCATTTTTGACCGAAGACTACTGGTAAGAATATTTCTGTTTCTGAGACATGACCTAATAAAAAAATTTTAAAGTCAAGAAAAGTGAATTTGCTTTATATAACGGTTACGAGTGCTGACGTTTCTAAGTTGGCTACATTTTTGGCTGAACAATTAGGAATTTGCTTTCTTGAGCCCACCTAGAACTCAATTTTCACTCATCAATATATTTTGGTCGCATTTGGTTACCCAAAAATTGACATTTTCCTAGAAAATTAATTTTCAAAGACAAGTAGAATTTTAGAAAAATTAAATTGTTAAATACGATAATCTACGGGTTGTGATTCAGTTGACAACGCAAACTGAATATGTAGAAAGAGCTCTCGGGTTCGATCACCACTAGAGAAACCTGCAGGGAGAGGCGTAGAGCCTTATTTGTGATTAAACTTGGTTCTTGATAATAGAGGCCAAAGTTTACACTAAAAATAAAATTATTAAGACAATAATAAAAATTCTACGAAAGTTGTATAATTACAATAATAAATAAAAATTATTAAGACAATAATAAAAATTCTACGAAAGTTGTATAATTACAATAATAAATATTATTATAAAATTTAAAATGTCTTATTTTTTAAGAAGTTAATTTTTCACTTTTTGAGACGGAAAATTACTTTACTGTGTACATGGGCAAATAGAGATGGAATCTTGATCTTCAGAAATTTAATTTTCCAGGAAATTTTACTAAGCTAACATTGGACAATTTTTTCAACCTATTTCCCATGAGATTTAGCAACTAACGTCCCTTAGAAACAGATGTAAAATAGCAACAGCTTTAGTAATGGAATTTAAACTACAATGAAACATTTGATTTAGAAACGAATTCGCTACAAGCTATAAAATATTGATGGATTTAGTAATTGATTTAGAAACAAATTTATCAAACCCGTTACAAATAATATTTTAAAAAAATAAGAGTAAAGAGAATAAAAACAGATAATAAATAATGAAATCGATATGATTTGGCTTAAGTCCAAGACGATGTCGATAGATTTAATTCTAAAGAGACTTTTGATTAATTTTAATATTTTTATTAAATGATATATTTTGAGATATAATTAATTTATTAAATCTCATATTATTATTAACTATTAATGATTCTACTATCATTATATTTAAAGTATTAAAAGAGGTATTCATAATTTTATTCTATTTTTATCGTTAAGTTGTTGCTATCATTATTATTATCACCCTTGCACATTATGGAAATATGATAACATGTATATTTAAAACTACGATTCTGCAAGTTCGATTTTGGTATAGTTCTTAAGAAGAATGGAATCGAACCAAAAATTTGGTTCTTTTATTTTTAGAAATCAAAATCGGAACCGAAGGACTAAGGAATCGGAATCGAATCAAATCAAAATGTCAGTATGATTTCAGTAAGGTTCTTCAATTTTCTGGTTTCGGTTCTTTTGTTCTAATTCCAATTCTAGTTCTCCTATTGAAAATTATTATATTTTTAAAACACATTACAAGGTTCCTTTATATAAGAATATTCTAATATCAAAGAAAAATTAAAATGTGTCACTTAAAATTAAAAAAAAATTATTTAAATTATAGATATAGTAAAATACTAAATAACTATTTATGAATTATCATATTGTTAAAATAATAAATAATAGATGACGAGAATCATTAGATATCAATTTTTTACGTGGGATAAATAATTTTAATTTATACTCTATTTGTATTATTAATTAAAGAGTATCAACTAATAAAGATTTTGCTTTCAAATAATAAAATTTGATGTCGGCTACAAATAACATAATATACTAAAACATTTTAAAAAATATGTTAACAAATCGGTTTTTCGATTCAGTTCAGTTTTTGGTACGATTCCAATATGGTTCTTTATAAGAACCGAAGCCATAACCAAAATAATAAATTACATTCGGTTCAGTACGGTTCGACTCCTACTATCTCGATTTTTTTCCCGTTTCAGTTCGATTCAGTATGGTTTCTCAGTTCGGTGTAGATCCCCAGAAACCATGCAAAGCCCTACTTAAAACAAGAATTTTGAACATAAAAAATTTTAAGATTTAGAGATGCATATTGAATTGGAATTCAAACAAGAAGTTCCTCTAGCTTTATGTGGATTCTTTTACTAAATGGTTTCTCCATAACACCTTAAAAGACGCTATCTACTTAAAGCCTAACTTCTTAACCTAACGGTCTAATGTAATTATTGGTTTCTCGTTACGTACAATCTTCTCTAATCTCAACTGTATATGGTATAATGATTACGTGTGTGGAACTTGACATGTATTTTCTCAATTAAGATTTGGAGAAACTAGTATACAAAAGCAAGTTTTGGGATAACTCCAACTTATAAGCGATATTCCTAACTCTTTCTAATACCGTATAGGACCCTATATACCTTGAATCTAGTTTCCATTTTCTGCCAAAACTCATGTCTTCTTTCATGGCTAGCAAACACTTTTAGGAGTTCATAATCACCCACAACAAACTCTAAATGTCGCCTCTTAGGATCCGGCAAGCTTTTTCACCAGTGCACGAAATCGTAAATAAGCAATAAAGAGTAAGTAGAGTATCGTCTCATGAAGATTATATACCAAATACTAAAATTATGTTACCCTACTATTATTCAAACGACAAAAAGGAGAATAGATTGAAAAATAAAATAAAACTATGCATAAGATATCAAACAAGAATATTTGATGAAAAGAGACTATGCATAGAAATCAAACAAGAATATTTGATGAAAAGAGATCAAGGATAAAAGCTACTAGGGATTTAAACTTCATCATTCCAATTTATCTATTAAGTTTGATAATCAATTTTAATTGTTCAAGTAAGAAAGAAAAACAACCCTAAAATCACTAAGAAGCTCTCCCGATGTATTGTTTGTGAATTCATAATCTAAGGTCGTTAATTTATGAAAACCCCTATGAGTCAAACCATATAGCTTCCGCATTAAGTTATTATCCTCATGTTATTTGTCATGCCCGACTCCAACCACCAGAGGAATTGTCCGCTTTGGATCAAGCCAAATCCATCCCACAACCACCAGAGGAATTGTCCGCTTTGGATTAAGCCAAATCCATCCCATACTAGATTCGCAGGATTCGCACGGTTTTGTCCCGCAGACAAAATGGGAAACTTCCCAGGTGGTCACCCATCTTAGGATTTCCGTTAAGCAAGCACGCTTAATCTTTAAGTTCTTCCAACTCTCCAAGCCATTTCATCACTAGGCGCCTGGTGGTCACCCATCTTAGGATTTCCGTTAAGCAAGCGCGCTTAACCTTGGAGTTCTTCCAACTCTCCAAGTCATTTCACCACAAGGCACCTCTGTTGATTAGTTTCCCCCTTTTCGATATATGATCGATTCATTCCTGTGTCCGATAGTCAGGATATCACAGGCCCATCAACTTCTGCGTGGTTCGTCCTCAAACCATACATCTACTGGGCTATGATACCAATTGAGCTACTCCACGCCCGATTCCAACCACCAGAGGAATTGTCCGCTTTAGATCAAGCCGAATCCATCCCATACAAGATTGGCAGGATCCGCATGGTTTTGTTTCATAGGAGAAATGGAGAACTTCCCAGGTGGTCACCCATCTTAGGATTTCTGTTAAGCAAGCACGCTCAACCTTGGAGTTCTTCAAACTCTCCAAGCCATTTCACCAAAAAGCGCCTTTGTTGATTAGTTTCCCCTTTTCGATATATAATTCGATTCATTCCTGTGTCCGGCAATCGGGATATCACATTATTTATTACCTTTTTCATATCAAAAACCCTTTTTCCGATAGTGATTAATGAAATAAATCAATCCAGGGGAGAAATCCTGCCTGGAAGCATTAAGTTCAATAATAAATTATACTTTGAACAAACAAAAGCAAATCTAATATTATAAATTAGCATTAAGTTCAATAATAAATTATACTTTGAACAAACAAAAGCAAATCTAATATTATAAATTGAAATAGAAATTAAGCTACATCAAATCCCTGGTATGAGAGTTTAGTTTGACATAGTAATTAAATAAAACTCAATTAAATTTGTAAATAATTACATAAAGAATAATAAACAAAAAGAGAGTTTAGAAAAAAAAAACTACTAGACAATTGGCTTGTAGTGCTTCCTTGAATCTCGATATCCAACTTGATTGCTTGAAGTCCTGTAAAAGAGAAAGAAAATTATGTAGAAAACAATAGGACCAGAGATGGAATATATAATGAATGGATTCAACTCTCGATCATCGCTAGTCTCTCTCTTTATATAGACTTTCTGGAATATCTTCAAGTTAGTTTAGGAAAGTGAATCTCTATTGAGTGAGAAATCTATTGGAGGTAGGAAACTGTTTAAGCTTTGTATTTCTTCCCAATTTGGACTCTCCCAGCGTCTAAATCAGACTTCAGCTTTGATAAGGTACGTCCCACAATATCTTCATGTGGGCAGCACAAGCTTAATATGAAATTTCAAACCAAGTTGAACTCTACAGAGTAGCATGGGGGTGCTGGGTAGCACGCCCTAGGTGTGCTACTTGTTGGAAGTCTTTGACAATTGATCATCTCTTGCATTTTTGGCTGATTTCCTATAAAAACCTACAAAACTCTTCAAGATCAAGTGAAATATGATTCGAGGGAGCTTTAAATAAAATCATAAATGAAACTAAATAAAAACCAATTAAAGTAATTAAAAATACTAAAAATTCTAATAAAAACTATATTAAAAATAAAAACTATCATTAAAAATACTATAATAACATCTATCAAAATTTCTCCAAACTTAAAACCATTGGCTTGTCCTAAACTAAAAAGC